TGCATAAAAAATGAACCTTGGCGAACTGTGAGGTGCCCAGTAATGTTTTCAGCAGATTTTCTGCGGAATGCCGTGCAGCCCTGTTGCCGGCATGACCATCGAACACTGCATAGAATGACCAGTTGAGGAAGGGTGGCTCACTGGACATCGAAATCTCGACCACGTGCGCATCCTCCATGTCGATCCGCCATCCCTGCATTGATGCCACTGCATAGCGCGTGCCCTGCAATTCAGCAAACGCCTAAGAACAATCATCTTGCGATCCCCTCCCGCGCAGCCCCCAGCCTGACCCTTGATGCCCCTTTCGTCCTTATTGTGGCCGCATGATGACGACATATCGCACTGCAGCTTCAAGCTCTGCGTTACCCTGTGTGCTATATAACTTTGCGTGCGCAACAGCTCAAACTGTACAGCGTCTGCTACACACTGACCATAACCATCAGCACACACTAGAACGGGTTATGTTGCATGCCAGTACTGCTTCTCGGCCTCCGGTCAGCTGAGTGGCCAGTGCATGCTGCCCGTCAGCACCTTGCAATGCCCGCTAAAAGTGTAACAGCGTCAATGCCGTGATGAAATAGAGCAAGCAGCTATGAAGAAGCCAAAAAACTTACATGGGCCACTCCTTCGTCGTTATCTTTATCGGTTTTTGGTTTATCCAGAAAAGCACCCATCAGATTTCGCCAGTGTTCTCAACGGCAGCAGCACACGCAGCAGCAAAAACCCACGTCGCTGCCGTCATAAAACCAAACAGTAACAATCATTATGAAGGCGCGCGCCTTCAATTTTAATGAATTAAGCGGCCAACTCCCGTGCTTTCCTCGCCCAAAAAAGAAAACGGGCCCTCTCCTTGCTACGTCCACCCATCCCGAACTGTGCCCCTCCCCGCCGACGCTTGACCGCCTCATCTCCGGAGCAAAACCCGTCACCCTGCTGTGCACCAGCCAGCTGCATGGCGTCCCCGCATGACTCCCGGACACCTCTGCTTAGCAAGCGCAAAACCAGCAGGGCAATGAATGCGATCAGAGACACCACTGCACCTACAGCTACACTTCACGCAGCTCTGACAAATGTACGCACTAGGCAGCATTCTGGGCAAGGGTCTTCCTCTCACGGCTGCGCAGACAGACAGCGTCCCAGGGCAACCCGAGCGCGACACCTTCACCACACGCGCGGCACACTGAACCAACTAGGGCACTGTGTTTTGACGTAACACAGTACCTCGTCGGCAATTACTAAAACTCGGCCCAACCCCAAACAACTCGACTGAGCAGCTGAACTGGCGGGCTGCGGTTCGGGGAAGGGGGGAAGAGGAGAAAGAGAATGCGGGTCGAGAACGACAGTTTAGATCTCAAGGGTCATAACAAAACGAAAGGGACGGAATTACCGACTGGAAAGCATCTACAACTTTGCTTAACGGTATGAACTGGAAGGAAAAGCATGCCTCGTATGGAAACGGACCCATGTGGGTTTTTATGCTCAGCAAGAAAGTTAATGCGGAGGGGAAGTTAGCATCGCGAACGCGACACCTAGAGTCTTACCCAGACAAAAACCCCGTTACCAGGGCTTTGACCTTCGAACCCGAACCCAAAATTGACTGCATACTGGCCAGCTAATTCCCCCTTCAATGCGAAGTTTCGTGCTGGACATAAAAAAACTCCATGGGGGCACTCCACTGCCCCTAAACCCCGCTTCATCGTAATTTCTATTTCCAAACAAGGTCTTTCCATTCAATAACTACGCCCTCTCCACTCCCCACCCTTTTGAGACTTCCCGTCTTCAACCACCACACACTCCGGACTCTCACTGCCTCTCCCACCCCCTCCCCCGCCCATTCGCAATGACCTCACCTCTCCCCCCACTTTCCCTCCTAGTCATGGCAATACGGCAATTGCTAGACTTCCACTGAAAAACGCTCCAACTTCTCTGCTAACACTGCTTCACACCGTCGCTAGCCGGCACTTTTTAGCGCTTTGCCGAAGAGTGTTGGATAGGGCAGCTACTAAAGCTCAGCTAGCGTCGGCAGCTGCATGGTTTACGGGTTCATCGGCAGGTCGTGTGGTAGGGAGCGGGGAGGGGGCAGGGAGCAGGGGG